GCATGTGTGTGTGTGAGTGTGTGTAACCTGCTTGTGTGTGTGTGTGTGTGTGTGTGTGTGTGTGTGTGTGCTGTGTGTGTGTGTGCTGTGTGTGTGTGGCTGTGTACCTGTGGGCGAGCGCTGGACTTGTACGTATGAGCGTAGCGTGATGTCTGTGGAGCCGCCGGACTCCAGAGGGATGGGATGAGCGTGAAAGTGCTGTAACATATCAGTGACCGTCTGGAACCACAGGTGATGAACGTGACACTGACCGCTGTCATTCACAGACAACCGCAGGTGCTGCCAAACACACAACATGTCACACAACACATTCATTATTCATGTGTTCATTTGAGCAGTTTGTCATTTGGTGATATTATTAGAAATAATAAATATATTTGAACAGATATTACTATATATATATTCATATTTATATGGGAACACGTGCAATATATGTAAACAATTATGCCACTAGAAAAAAATAATATTTCCTTTAGTATTTTAGTCTTGTTTCATAGTATAAATATCTAAACAGTCTTGTTTTCTGAAAAAAAAAAAAATAATAATAATTTTGTTAGTTTTTGCTTAAAACAAGAAAAAATACCTGCCAATGGGGCAAGAAAAATAAGATTGTTTCCCTTAAAATTAAGATTGTTTCTTGCCCCATTGGCAGATATTTTTTTCTTGTTTTCAGCAAAAACTAACAAATTTAGATTTTTTTTTCAGAAAATAAGGCAATATCTTAAGTCATTTAAGTCAGTCATAGATATTTGTAATCAGAAACAAGACCAGACAAAAATACTAAGTATGAAAATAATTTTCTGCAGTGTGAGGAGAAACATATACAGTACATATACACACACACACAAATACATACACATATTTATATATGTGACCCTGAATAAATAATCTTTCCATTGATGTACGGTTTGTTAGGATAGGACAATATTTGACCGAGATACAACTATTTGAATATTTGGAATCTGAGGGTGCAAAAAAATCTAAATATTGAGAAAATCATCTTTAAAGTTGTTCAAATGAAGTTCTTAGCAATGCATATTACTAATCAAAAAGTAAGTTGATATTTACGGTAGGAAATTTACAAAATATCTTCATGGAACATGATCTTTACTTAATATCCTAATGATTTTTGGCATAAAAGAAAAATCAATAATTTTGAACCATACAATGTATTGTTGGCTGTTGCTACAAATATCCCCCAGCGACTTAACACTGCTTTTGTGCTGCAGGGTCACATATATGTGTGTGTATCATCTGTTTATGTGCTATATATACCATGTAGCACTCAATCTATCAAGTTAGACATGTCAATTTGCCATGACTTTAACAAGAATTGTCCAAAATCCTAAGTTTAAATTTATATACTTCCCATCACACATATGCATAGTCCATGCATATTTAGTAGAATATTGAAAAATATAAGCACAAGTTTCCCATTTGTGGAAATTTATTAATATATTGCATTATATTTTCCAGTATATTTCCATATATTTTGTTTCGTACAGGAAGCTGCTGAAAGCACTGAATAGCAGCATGCTTCCTGCAGTTGTATGACAGATATCTGCTCAGACGTCAGAAGCGCTGAATGTCGCGGCTCACCTTGGCTTTGCCCTGGAAGTTGAAGGTGAGGACGTATTCTCCAAGACGCGTCTCGCTCTGGCGGATCACAAACAGACCGTGACTCTGTGCGCCGCCGGCGAGAACGAGCTGGGCCGCCCGCACCCGTGACAGCGTCCCGTGGAACCATGGGTAACCCGTCAAACTGGCATCTCCTTCCGCTTCCCTTGGTGTTTCACCTGGGCTTCCTGAATGACAGGAGCAATGTGAATGCTGTGTGTGTGTGTGTGTGTGTGTGTGTGTTTGTGTGCGTACCTGGTATTCCCTACGTTTTGGGGACCAAATGACCCCACAAGGATAGTAATACTGGTAAATTTTGACCTTGTGGGGACATTTTTAAGATCCCAATGTGGAAACATGCTTAAAAACTCACACAGAATTAAGTTTTTTGAAAATGTAAAAACGCCTGTAGTTTTGTGTAAGGGGTAAGTTTAGGGTAAGGGGATAGAAAATACAGTTTGTACAGTAGAAAAGCCATTACACCTTTGGAGAGTCCCCATAAAACATGGAAACCCAACGTGTGTGTGTGTGTCTGTCCGTGTCTGTGTGCGCGTGTCTGTCCGTGTCTGTGTGCGCGTGTGTGAGAGTGTGTGTGTGTCTGTGAGAGTGTGTGTGTGTCTGTGAGAGTGTGTGCGTGTGCGTGTGTGCGTGTGTCTGTGAGAGTGTGTGCGTGTGTCTGTGAGAGTGTGTGCGTGTGTCTGTGAGAGTGTGTGCGTGTGTCTGTGAGAGTGTGTGCGTGTGTCTGTGAGAGTGTGTGCGTGTGTCTGTGAGAGTGTGTGCGTGTGCGTGTGTGCGTGTGTCTGTGAGAGTGTGTGCGTGTGTCTGTGAGAGTGTGTGCGTGTGTCTGTGTCTCTGTGTGCGTGTGTCTGTGTGTTTCCACTGTCATGCTGTTGGTGCAGGAACCCAATCTGGCCCAACATGTTTTTAGACTGAAAACAAAGTGGAAAAAAACAGCACCCCAAAACATGTTGGTCATAAACTAGGAACTACTAAATGTCAGTAATTCTGGAGATGGGATAATAATGAATAAAAATCATGAATATTATATCTATAAAATATATACATAAAAACAACAATTCAGTGAATCTAGACTGACACAAAACAAACAAGATCAATCCCATTCTAATCAATAAAACGGCCTGATGTGTTGTGAAATAATGCCTGCTTTAATGTGCTGCAAAGCTACTCTTGCTAGTTACAATTTTCATATTTGTCTGAAATAAAATGGTTATATTCACAAATATCATATAAGAAAATGAATATTATCAATGCATCTGGATATTAAAATAATTCCGAAACGCTAAATAATTTATGAAACCACCAAGATGTAAAAGGTAACACACAAAAACTACAACTGAAATCATAAATAATAAATTGTGTTACAGCATATAAAAAACACAGGACAATTTGCCCAGATAAAATTGTGTCAACTTGCCCCGGCCTGACATTTATGAAAAACCCCAAATCTACCTTCATCATATAGTGACTCCTCTGTTAATGTACGTTAATGTGTGTTTTATCGTGTTCACACGTTACTCAGCATAACATGATGGTACTGTAATTTTAGAACAGAATTATCAGGAAACGTAAGAAAATCAGTAACTGAGGTCTCTCCTATTTGCAATCCAAAACTAAAAGCAGCCAGACTGTTATTTTCATGCTGTAATATTTGCATGAGGACATTTTTCCTCTCTAGTTGCCTAATGTGTGTGCTGCTCTCTAACTAGTAGAGTTTTCTCGAGTTACTTTTGGTGCAGTAAACAGTGTGAAGTCTTTGCTCTTTTCCTGTCTAACATACATCAAGGGAAGCATTTAAAGAATTTTACGAAAGTGAATCACTGAATAAAATCACTGCTCAGTGAACTCAACAAAATTGAATCTTTCTAAAAATGTATAAGAATCCAATTGAAAAGCATTGAATCAAAGATTGATGCACCCAAATAGAACAGTCATCATCCTGTTCTCAAGTCAGTGAAACCTGATGTACCTGATGGTGTGTTAGTGTTCTGGGCCTCTGGCGACTGCAGGAACCGCTCTAACGGGACATGTGAGGGGTGCTGGGTGACGGGGGGCTCCTGGCAGCGGGCCGCAGTCGCCTGATCAGCAGCAACAGAGCACCCCCGATGTGAACCTGAGCAACACATCCACAACATAAACCCAACTCTTCCTGTAGCTTACGAGAAACACATCATATGCACAAACGGAATTCATCAGAACGCTGCATGCATCTGAGAAGCCTCTATTAATAAATACAGAGCTCTATTACTGATTTAGACTGTGCATGTGCGAGCGGACGTGTCTGGATGGCGTACCTTCACACAGCAGCTCACAGCTACAGGACGACACCAGCGAGAAGTCTTTGTGCGGTTGGCTGTGAGCACACGACGCCAGCTCGATGTCATCGCCGCTGTCCCTGAAACACAGAACGATGCTTCAGCAACTACACCATGAAAGTGTTTGGTCTTTTAAAACAGTTATCTGATGTCCTGGAATACAGATCTGAGTTTCTGATGGACTTGGTGCTTTGTTACTTATTCAAAGCACTATACATCAGTAAACAAAAGGGTTTTAAACGCGTTTAAGCTGACGCTATTATACTGGTTTACAAGAAAACGAAACCATCTCTTCATCAAGCATCAGACTTTCCACCTGCAACATGCAACCATATATTCATTCCTACTTTTTGAGAATCGCTTCCTCTCACTTTGAACGATACCTACCAATATCTTAATCTATTAATTGCTTTAAAATGCTCAGACATTCACAACTGCATTCATAAATGTGACCCTGGAGCACAAAACCAGTCTTAAGTATCATTTTTTCAAAATTGAGATTCATACATCATCTGAAAGCTGAATAAATAAGCTTTCCATTGATGTATGGTTTGTTATGATAGGACAATATTTGGTCCGAGATACAACTATTTGAAAATAAGCGCTATACAAATAAACTTGAATTGAATTGAATTAATATACTTAAGATTTTGGGCAAAAAAGAAAAATGTATAATTTTGACCCATACAATGTATTGTTGGCTATTGCTACAAATATCCCCCAGCGACTTAACACTGCTTTTGAGCTGCAGGGTCACATATGTGCTAGACAACACTATAAATACATTATAGCTAGATCTAAATCAGGAGAGCACTTGTATCATCATTTTACATCAGTAATATCAGCACTAAAACTCTACAGTAAACCTGATTTCTTACTTGGTATTTTTGTATTGTTTTCATTCTTGAATCGAGATACATTTACCTGAGAAGCAAAATGACTTTGAGATATTAATTCTTGTTTTCTAAAAAAAAAAATAATAACTGAAAGTTTGTTAGTTTTTGCTTAAAACAAGAAAAAACATCTGTCGACGGGGTAATAAACATAATCTTAATTTAGAGGGAAAACAGGATTATTTTTCTTGCCCCATTGGCAGATATTTATTCTCATTTTAAGAAAAACTCACTTGATTTTGATACACTTTTTTCAGAAAACAAGACCTAACATCTTGTTATTTTGCTTCTCAAGTAAATGTATATTGATTTAAGAATGTTTAGATGTAAGTAATGGAAAACAAGACATTTTTGCACTGTTATAGGCATAATAATAGTATGACTTTCTGTAAAGTTGCTCTGAAACATTGTGAAAATATGTTTGATTTGACTTAAATATGTTGAGATTGTGTCTTAAACACTAGTCGGACCAACTAGCAGTAAGCTAAGGGATAACTGAATCTGATTCTTATGCAGTTATGAGCAGTGTATAGACACCAGCATCAGAGATACTCACCCGGGGTCAATGCAGTCCTGGATGTCTGCGACCCACGAGTTCTTCTGCAGAGAGTCGATGGTCTCCAAAATGTATTCAGCAGTGTTTTCTACCTGCGATGGACGACACAACACCACAGCTTGAACTGACAGCACTGATCTAGATCCACTAGGCAACATGCTTGCACTTCTCAAAGACAAGTTACATATGTGAGCATACATATGTGCATGACTAAGAACGAGGGAACTGTACCTTGAGCACAAATGTGTTGTCTTTGTCGGGCATCTCTAGAGGCATGGTGGTCCTCACCTCCACGATAGCAGACAGCGGGATGCTCACTTTGGGTTTAGATGACTACAAACACAAATCAACGCCATTCAAGTATGCACAGTGTACAACATGACATTCAGCGAGAGCCGTGTGGTTCTGCAGGGCTTAACAATAAGGACTGTCATTTGTATTTACCATGCAAACATTTTTCTGTATTCAATCTCAATTAATTGCATATTAATATATGTGGGTCAAAGACGAAAAAGGGTTTAAGCATAAAAAACAATACTGCTTTAAATTGTTGTTGTTGTTCCAAAAAATTTTTAAAAGTTTTCTGTTTCATGTAATTGTATTTTTGTTGTTGTTTTTCCGAGCAAAAAAATAAATATCATACATTTTTCCCTGATTTACAGAAGACACCCACTAAAATGTCATTCAGTGTAACAATCTTGTCAGGCATATTTACAACAAAAATCAATTTATGACATATTAAAAGACTAATTACTTTCACCCCAAATACTAATTAGTTGTAATTTTACATTTTTAACATTTGCCACTATCCTAGGTTTTGCCCATTTGTCAGCAAGATTTTTTTACTCATTTAAAACAAAATGTAATATGCTCCCTTATTCTTTTATATATTTTAATATGTACACGTCAGAATAAGCATGTTGTTTGAATTTTTACATAACAATAAGTGTTACACTGAATGACAATGTAACATTATTTCAACCTAATTTTAACATTTTATTCTTCAAAAACTTATTTGAAACCTTAAAAGTAGACACTTAACTTGCGTTTAATGTTCTTTCTATGGACATAAAATCACTTTAGTAAATTTCTTTGGATGCGGACATCTTAACGTCTTTGACCCATTTACATTGTTATAGTTTCACACTGAATCTCTAAATTAATGAAGAAACAACATAAAGATGGTATATTTTAAATATGTGTTTAATGGCATCTTTTTACTAAGTAGCCTATTATTAATGATGGCCGGTCTCAATTATACCAATACTGCTAATGTCTCTATTAAATGCATTTTTACCTCAGTTTTAGCCATTAATTATAGCCATTCAACATTACAGTATAACTCAAAGACATTATTTTAAACATTTAATAGGCTTTGAAAAATATAACTTTTAATTTAAGTGAACTTAAAACAATCTTCACATTAACTATAAATTGTATATGCATTGAATAAATGGACTAAATTGACTATCTTATAGCTTTTTTCAAGCAACAAAAGTTAATCAGCGAGAAGAACAGGAAGTGATTTCTCATTGATTTCCATCAATAACAGACTGCAGCAGGTTTCACTTTAAAAGCAGCGCTGTCTCTTTAAAACCTGACACACATCCGATTTTCTCACAACTCATCTAGGACTTCTTAACTCATTTAAGACTGCTTACGAGGTCACTTGCCAAAAATGGGCATTTTGACAATTTTGTGTACTTTTGTTTGCGAAAGAGAACTCAGTATGCTACTGGCACGCTGTCTGAAGAGGCTTATATATATAATCATATGTGTATATATATATATATATATATATATATATATATATATATATACACAT